GGGATAGATTGTAGACATATTGATAAAAATTTTTGCTAGTATGTTCAATGATATAGGGCCGTTGTAAAAGACTGTTAATCCAATAGTCTTTCAACCAATATAAATTATCCTACCATTATGTTTGAACGAAGAGAGTAATGCTCATATCTTCCACAAACTCGAACGGCCTGCTTTGGTAAAATGCTGACTGAGGCTTTATGAGTGTCAAAGGGTTAAAAAATTCACTTCTTCGTTAAGGACAAATCAGAGAATGTGTCTTATAAGGGAAGGATACTTGGTCGGTGACATTGCCATATGAAATGTGTACTTTCTTATAGAACACAAAACGTTGATTCCAAGTCTGCTTTTCTTATCTGCAAAGCGCTTCTGGAAAGGGAGTTCTGCGAATTTTTTGTGGTGAAAATTCAATGATTTGGCTAAAGTAAAAACAGGTGTTGAGATCTTTCCGGCGCTTGAAAGGAGTATTGACTGGCATGGGTTTATTAGATCAAAGATATCTATTGCATAAAAGCCCAGGTGGTAATCATGGCCCAATTTTAGCTCACGGACTAAAGTTCTGAATAGTTTTATCGTGGCCGCGCTTTCAAAATTTTTGCATAAAATATTCTCATAACTCTCCTCCCAAAAGCGCTTTGCAGAAAATGAAAGCAGATTTGGAATCAGCGTTTTATGCTTTATAAGATAGTATACATTTCATTTGGAAACGCCATTTCCACCAAATATCCTTCCCTTGCTAGTACTAGGTTATCTATATTTTTTGTAAGGAAATAGAAGATAAAAATTTCTACCAAATTGTTACCGGAATGCAGTATTCTAATTTGAACTAGTTGTTGGAAGAAATATGTTTCTGACTTTAACACATTCATGACAAGGCCATTTTATCCAGTACTAGCTGGCTTACCCGGCTCCGCTCGGCCCTGTCAATTCTATGATTAAGGTCTTATCCCTATCCCTATAGAACCTTTCATTGTGCCCACTTCTACATGCAATTCCCTATTCCCGCTGTGTTAGTAATTAGCATGCCCACCTACCTCCCTCAACAACCCCCAGCCCCGTAGCTCAAACGTGGCAAAAAAAAGCAATAAAATCGTAAAAGTAAGGATAATTCTGAAACTGATGGCGCTATTCGGCTATCCGGCCCCCAGTGGCGGACCGAGGGGGGGGAGGCGGGGGGGGGGGGGCGCGCGCCCTCCCCCCCCCCGAGAATGGGTCGCGAAATTTTTGAAACTTTCCTATATGGGTTATAAAAATGTGCAAACGACTTGTTTGCACTTGAAAATAATTAAAATAATTTTTAAAATTTTCTAAAAATTCATTTTAGCCTTATAAAAAATTTTTTTTCGGGGGCGTGGCTGACGCCACGCCCCCTTTTTCCAGATTTTAGGGGTCGGGGACCCGCAAAAATTTTGAGAAACACCCCAAAAATTTTTTCGGAGTGCGTGGCTAACGCCACGCACCTTCTTTAGAAAAAAATTTTTGTCGCCCCCCCCCCCCGAAAAAAATTTCTCGGACCGCCACTGCCGGCCCCAAAATGTTTTTGTGATGGATCTTGCTTAAAGTCGGTACATGGGGATTATTAAAGCCGCTGATGACGAATATCGTAGTCATTTCGCGCGATATAGCGCCATTTTCTGGGTTTACGTTGGGTACACACAAGAAGCTAAAATCAGGGATTTCGCTGAAACTTTGAGGGGGGAGGGGCTAATTGACATGCTGATTACGAATATCATAATCCTTCGGCATTTTGAGGTGATTTCACTGAGCTATGGTAGGTATACTGCAGAGGGGCGAAATCTCAGTTCTGGCTGAAACTCGATCTAGAGAGATTCGACCTTCTGACCACGTCTAAAACACTCTCGTTGCGTTTTGAGACCTTTTCGCAGAGTTACGGTAGGTACATGGCAGCGGGTAAAAATCATGAACCTGCCTGAAACCTTGGCAGAAAATTACCTAAAGTGCTGTTTCAAGAATATGGTGCTCAATCCCCACGAGAAAGGCAACTCGTGTGGTATAAAAGTTTCCCACGACCATAGTGCTTTCCCTTATAGGACCACTGTCGCGCGCGAGACACCCTTCGGCGGCTTTTGCCTAAGCAAAAACAGGGGGAGGGAGATTTGCCGCGTGCGTTACACACTGGGACAGGTTATCAGTTTCCTTATAGGACCACTGCTGCGCGCGATACACCCTTCGGCAGCTTTTGCCTAAGCAAAAACAGGGGATGGAGATTTGCCGCGTGCGTTACACATTGGGACAGGTTATCAGTTTTCTTATAGGAGCACCGCTGCGCGCGATACACCCTTCGGCAGCTTTTGCCTAAGCAAAAACAGGGGATGGAGATTTGCCGCGTGCGTTACACATTGGGACAGGTTATCAGTTTCCTTATAGGAGCACTGCTGCGCTCGATACACCCTTCGGCAGCTTTTGCCTAAGCAAAAACAGGGGATGGAGATTTGCCGCGTGCTTACACATTGGGACAGGTTATCAGTTTCCTTATAGGAGCACTGCTGCGCTCGATACACCTTTCGGCGGCTTTGCCTAAGCAAAGACAGGGGGAGGCAGATTTGCCGCGTGCGGATACACCCTTCGGCAGCTTTTGCCTAAGCAAAAACAGGGGATGGAGATTTGCCGCGTGCTTACACATTGGGACAGGTTATCAGTTTCCTTATAGGAGCACTGCTGCGCGCGATACACCCTTCGGCAGCTTTTGCCTAAGCAGAAACAGGGGATGGAGATTTGCCGCGTGCGTTACGCTTTGGGACAAGTCATCAGGATGGCGCTGGAGACCGCCATGCAAAACGACGGTTTCCCCGTCTCTTGAATATCTGGGATCTAAATGGCTCGAAAGCGAAAAAATGTCCATTTAAACCCTGCAACTCACCATAACTTCACTATTGCGTTATGGCAGCGAGCAAGCATCATATTCATAAGCGATATACTTGTAAACCGTTACAGGTAAGGTTTTGAGCAAATCTGGAATTTTGACCCATCTACACCCACTGTAACCCAAGAAAATGCACTATCCTGCGAAATCAGCATGATATTCATGTTCAGCGCGCTAAATGACCACCCTAGACAAATAAAGCAAATCTATGTTGTCGACCCCATATATAACCACCACAACTCTATGAAAAGGCCCCAATATGCACAGAGAGAGAGAGAGAGATGATATTCGTAATTAGCATGTCGAATAAGCCATATGGACCGAACTCCAGCCGAATTCATGATTTTGACTTCCTACCATACACCTATCGTAACCACACGGGAAGACGTTCTGCGGAGAAAGTGTGATATCTGTAATCAGCATGTAAAGGGCCGGGCATACTTCACGCGATTTCAGTCGCGATGCGATTTGGCATTTCGCCAGAAGTCTTCGATCCAACTTAGCAAACTGCACATGCATAGTGTGTGTAATTTACGTAAACTGATGAAATGCCATATCTTCTGTACATTTCTAATGTGCTTACAATGAGTTATGAACACCTGGAATAGTGCCAAATCGTGTCGCGATTGAAATCGCTTGAAGTATACCCGGCCCTTAAGATAACCCTTATACACGAAGTCTGAGCAAGCTCTACCACAAAAAATTTTGGGGCCCGGATAGCCGAATAGCGCCAAATTAATATCGAACTCGTAATCAGCATGCTCGATTACCCCCCTGCGCCAAATCCGAGCCCCGTAACTCAAACTTTGCAAAAAAATCGATGAAATTGATAAAAATAATGGACGATTTCATAAACTAATATTGTAATTGTAATCAGCATGCTCGATTACCCTAATGTGCAAACTCCCAGCCCCGTAGCTCAAACTTTGCAAAAAATCGATAAAATCGATAAAAGTAATCGATAATTCTGAAAGCTACTATTGTATTCGGAATCCCCATGCTCACTTACCCCCCCCCCCCCCCTTCCTGTGAAAACTCCCAGCCCCGTAGGTGAACTCTGCAAAAAAATCGATAAAAATCGATATCGATCGATACGAAAAGTAGCCTATGACACCCGCCGGGGCCGAAGTGTATGTGTGCCAAGTTTGGTCCAGATCGGTTCAGAAATGGAATTTCCTATTCGGAACATACGTACAGACAGACAGACAGACAGACAGACATACAGACATACAAACAAACAGACATTCAGCTTTATATAGAAGGATTGATTTGCGTAATATTTTCTGATCACTGATGGGTCCTGTGGTCTGAAGTGTTAATCTTTTGGGGAGTATTCCAAGACGTGTATACAATTTGCTAAGTAGCATCGTGAACTAGCAAAATCAAAAACTTCAGAAGATCCGAGATGGTAGAGTACGTGCGACCCACCGATGGGTCGTATTGTCGTGAATGTGTTAAGGAATCTACTTCTGCAATGCAATGTCATGAAACAGCTCTTACTTGCTCTTGTTTTTGCGGAAAAGTTGACAGAATTGAAGAAAAATTATCTCTTACTCATCTGTGATGTACAAAAATTGCCGATGCACAACCTGTTTGGAGGCAAGAGTGAAAAGAAGCCGGGGAAAATGATTCGTTTTTTTGGAGCTCTTGATTTTGGGTCGCTGAACCCAGCACACGGTGAGACTACGAAGGCTTGGAGTCCACTCAACTATGTTTCTAAGAAATCTCTGCAAAAAAGTTCATCGCTCCAACGAGATGATGTACATGTACCTTAGTCTTTCTTGTATATCTCCTATTAAAGCTAATTTCTTTGCGCGGGTAAAACCCTCAAAAAAAAAACCTACTGTCACGCACTAACCGGGGTCGTTAGTGCGAGGGCGTATGTCCAGGTGGGGATCGAGAGAGTAATAGAAGAATTAATTAGAAGACCAGAAGCAGGAGACAATTACAACCATAGCCGCCACGGTACAAAGTACATGGTCAGATCAACATTCAATAATCATTGCCTATGGCATATATGCACCATGGCATCCATCCTTGACAGTACTAAATTCGTATCCTTTAGCTCTATATGCTAAAAACTATATCAGTCATGAAGATTATGGTGTCTAATAAGCTCAGATAGGTGTTTGGTGCTCAAGAATTCAAAGTTAGCGTGACTGAAATAATTAACTAATGGTTGATAGCTTGGATGAGATTTTCATAATCACAGAATCTCGGCTGGCACGCAAGGTGAGTTGATTATCACTTTCGCTTCAAAAGCGGACTTCAACTCAAATTTCTAAATTTTCATCATATAATTTAAGGAATGCAGCGATTAGTTGGTAATGTTCATAATCAAGCCTCAAGATCGCTGCTTTGGCCACAACATTTTAATCAGCAACAGATAAGTATGTAAAAATTTGAGATTTAATGCTTCAATTGAAATTTGCGTTCTATTCATTTCAGGCAACGTTACATCCATGGAATTTCATCCAAGGGCGAAAATACGACGGTGCCGAACGTGGTTCAATGCGTTTCAGGTATAAGCATGTATCACTTACAGTACTCCTACCGTAATTCACTGTACAAATCATTTCAATTTAATTTGAATTTGTTATGTAGTTTTTTTTTCAAACGATTAGACATACTGTAATGCTCGTAAATAGTCTGCAAATTCCACGAAAATATTTGAGAAAGTTTGTTGCAATTTGCCTACAGAAATAGCGGAATACTTTTTGCTTACCAGAGTGTTTTAGAGCAGCAACTCGCTCATAATTTTCGGAGAAGAGTTGAAGAAATTTTCTAATTTCAAAATGAAAAAATTCCAGTTACA